TGTCTCCTCAGAGATAAGCTAGGCTAACAAACCTGTTTTCCTAATTTTCTTTTCTACAAGTAATTGAGCCGTTAGCCATCTGTTACCAAAAATCTCTTAACTTCTTTCATGTCCAGTCAAAATAAAGGGTAGTTTCCTAACCTGCTCTCATTCCCATCAACAAATCTGCATGATTGTCTGGAAAGGAATTGAACTGGCTTCTGTCAAGTTAAGGGTGACAGATAAAAGTGGTAGAATCCTTTTGGGGCTGTTTTAATAGGCACAGTGGTAAAAGATAAGCAGGGAAGGGTCCACCCTTCTATCTGCCCTTTGAAATGAGCACAGAAATCTTTTCTTTGAAGTTTCCAATAACATGAGGTCAGTCTGAAGGTGTGAATTATCTTTTTACATGCTGACCTCTGCCTCTCTGGTCAACTTCCCAAGCACTCAGTAACAAAGCATCAAAGTCCCCAATATCCAAATTCCATATTTTCACTTCCTTGATTTCTATACATCATCTAAAACCGTAAGGATAGCTAAAAACACAATTATATGACAACAGAAGTGAAGATACCCTTCTTGGTGTTATAAACGTAATAGAGTTATACTGTCATTAGTGGAGAAGGTAACTAATTGCAAGTGACTATTTGTACACTCTAAATCAGCCATTCTCAATGGGGGCCATATGGCCCCTGGGGGGGCCCTGGCAGATTTGAAGGGGGCCACAGATTTATCTGTTCATTTTGTATTCTTGTTTGCACAGAGCAGAAGGCTTTCTTTGTTTGACTTGAGAAGTGGTTCTAAAAGGGCCACAGCCAAGAAAAGGTTGAGAATAGCTGCTCTAAATTATGCAGCAAGACGTTAGGACAAGCCACCAGTTTATTCTCTGCGTATATGATGTGGAATTGGTATGTGCAGACATTTCAGATGTTTGTGTATTAATGACTGGATGTCATTCAGCTGTGACATATAAAGCAGCTATAAGGCAGTGAGTGAGATATCAATTGTGCTTACAGTATTTTGTCATGATCAAGAGAGAAGAGTTTGCTATGGCTGCCCTCTATTGGGAAGGAAGACTTTTATTCTGTCCAGACCCAAGTTAGGATCACATGGTGTGAAGCGCATCCTTATTCTACTAAAAGGTGGCTAAATCTGTTTTCTTAAGGGTTCCTGTGTATATAAGGATGAGTCTTTAATTCCTTCAAATCTTATGAAGGAGAGCTCACAAAAGGGCAAGGACGACTTGCCCAACACTTCTCCAGAAGGACTGGCATCATTGTACACAGAACCACTATACCTGTGCATTTAGTACAGTACTGTGTTTTGTTACTTGTGCAGATTTTGGTTGGTGGGAAGATTTATGCCTATGATAGGAAAGTGTCACTTGTGACGTTTCCCCTTTATTGCTTGGTGGTTTCTAGTGAAGGAATCCATATATATGGAGGTCCACAAGATTTGGGATGCCCAGTGTGGTGAAATGAATAGAGAGACAGACTTGGACTCTGGAGGCCTGGGTTCAAATTCCTCCTCAGTCATGGAAACTGACTAGAGGCATGGAACTAGTAAAGCCACTCATTAAAAATCTCATTTGCCTTCAAAGCCCTGTTAGGGTCACTATAAAAGTTGACTCCATCTTGACAGCACATACTAACAAGTACACACTTTGCACAAGCATGCATGTACTCACACATCGGCACAACCCACAGAGAGGGACAATATTTCACAAAATATCTCGACTCCACAAAGATCCTCTGGCTGACTTTTGAAAGTACTGCTGAGCACTTTGGCCACAATCCAGTATGAGAACCAATGGCCTCATGCACACTTCAGTCTGTGCATCATTGTGATCATGTCTGGCTATAATCTGGGGAAAGGGAGGAGCTCTGCAATTGGCGGCAAGGTTTTACAGTATTTTAGATGGCCTCAGAGTGCACTCAAATACACCTACCCGAGTGATAGTGTTTGTGGAATGCAACATGGTTTACTTCCAAGTTTTAAATGCACAGAGTGTGTGCATTTACTCTCGTGCTTTTAAAAAATGTTTTTAAAACTAACAAAGATTCAGGGGAAAAAAGAGACCAAAAAAGAAATCATAACTTTAAAAACCCCTTATTAATTAGTCTCTTGTAAAAATGTGGTCACAGAGATTTCTCTGGCCACTCTGGCTACCCATTGCCAACCCCTGCTTTCCGTTTCCTGTCAGAGGCTAGGAAGCTGAATCAGCCACTTGTGAAATACAAACATTTCCATACTCATTTGATTAGATTTCAATTTCTCTGCCACTCAGACCTGTGGGAAACACTGATAGGCACCTTATGTTGATTGTACTGACAAGAACTTTATATACAGACATGGTGGTAGAAGCCTGGTTCATTTTAGGGGGATTTCAATAATCTTTGGGGGGGGGAGAGAGAAAATCCTGTACTTTCTCTTTCCATCATGAATTGCATTTCATCAAAAGTACTTCTTTCTTCAGTTGGCACAACCCACAGAGTTTGATAAGACTGCCTCATGTTGAGGAAAAAAGTGTGTGTGTGTGTGTTTGGCTGGCTTAGCATTTGTGCACTGCAACTAGGCCCTCCTCTCACCTTGTACACATAACAAAACTATAAAGTAGTTTCAGCTGGGAAACATTTAGTGGCCCAAGAACACCCATAGAGAGGCAAGGATTTGAACTCCTATCTCATCCATCTTTTCACAGGATGCATCTCTACCTTTTCTTGCCATCCTCATCTACTGCAACTGTTCCTACCAATAATAATAACAATAAATCACCTTTGCCCAGTTTCTCTCCATTCCATGGACAGGACAAGTTCTCTTGTCCTATTTGTCACCTGGTGGTAGGGTGACGTGGGCTTTCGCTGCACTTTGAACTGCAGTGCACCTGCTTTGGGGCTTCCCATAGGCATCTATCTGGTGGGCCTATGTGGGGAACAGCATGCTAGATTATGTAAGGCAGGAGCCGAAAGCTGCAGGATGACCAGTTATTTTGGGTGACAAGACACCACAAGCTGTTACTATTGAGCATGCTGGCTGGGTCTTCTGTAGATTTAAAGCATCCGGAGGCCCAAATCTAAAAACCGTACCTCAAGGTTCCTCAGCACCACTCTAGACAGATGTCACAGAAGCTGGCCAGGATCCCTTTTTTTTTATAGCCACTCTTCCATGCCACTCCTTTTTGTCCTGAGGTGAGTTAAGTTCAGGAAAGAGCTTGCTGGAGCATGATAGAATCCATTTTACTCTGAAACACTCCAGTCGAGTAGCGTCTCCGGGGAGTTTCAAAAAATTCCACAAGGCTAAACACTGAAAAGCTACGTGCCTTCCTGGCCAGGGTAATGCTGACACCACACCCACCCACACAGAAACACCCAAAATCCTAGCACCTGGTCAAGACTAGGACTGGCTTTAGAACCACAGACCCTCTCAGCTAAAAAAAACAGACCATTACTGAAAAGGAATTTTGTATGTTATTGAAGAGAAAGAGGGAAATAGAGAACACTTTTCTCCCTCCCAGGTATATGAGAATTGGCTAAAACGAACCCAACAGGGCTGGCCACTTTTCAATGGCTTGTATCTGGGTATATCTGTGACAAGTATATTTAACTCTTTATCTATTTACAAATAGTATGGTCATTTATGTCCACTAAAATGTGCAATGCTGTTAATGTTTACTCAGAAGTAAATCCTACTGAGTTCACTGGGGCTTCATTCTGATCTATGTAAATAGAGCTGCAGTTAAAATGACTTTTTGAAATGCACAAAGACTCTGTATCTTTCACAGTCAATTGGGCAGGCAGAATTAAGAAGGTGAGAAGAGCTGTGTTAGAACAAACGAAAAGCTTCTCTTCTATTGGGTGCTGCGTTCTCACCTTGCCCACGCAAGTACCACTGGCAAGCAGCACATGGACATAACGGTCTCCTCCCACAGTAAATTCACAGCAACCTATATGGCAATTAAAACACACACACAACCCAAATGTGTATGGAATTGTAGCTTTACAGCAGGATCAGACATCTGTCAGCAGCCTTGAATGTATAGTCAATACAGTATATAAATGTTCAAATAAAAAAAGAAATGACATTTTTCTTAGCACAGAGGTGGAGACATGGAAAAAGGAAGCCTGGATCTGTCCTGCCTGTCATGCCAAGGCTTAGGGCATAGAACCTGTGGCAGTGTGATCAAAAAGTGGACAAAGGGAATCCATGCAGGGTTGCCAACTTCCTGCTTCCCCCCCTCCCGTAAAACGCCTCTGTTCTATGTCACAGCAATAGAACAAGCACCAATGAGTGGGAGCAAACTTCTACATCCCTGCATTGCTCACCCCAGATACAAGTACTACTTGCTACAGCTATGAAAGGTACAGATCCCATCCAAGGGTTAAAAGGGACTTACTAATATTAATGTTTTAAGAATTGTTTTAATATAGGATATTTTATATTGTCTTTTAAATGTTTTAAATATTTTTAAGTTTTAATATTTGTTGTATGCCGTTCAGAAGCCACTGGTAATGGTGCGGCTAAATAAATAAATAAATAAATAGCTGCTCCAATACACTTCTTTCATACTTATCAGAAGACTAAAGTGAAAATAAGTCTTGGGGTTAAAGGGCTATGCCCGGTTGTGATTGCGGCTCCATGTGGGCGTCTCTAACCAAGGCGGCTGAAGTTTGCTCTGCCGTGTTGAAGGCATTGCCCTCCCCTTGGGTAGATGGAAGACCCATCGCTCTTCACGCCCAGCCTAAACTTGGGTGTTTCTTTAAATGTATACAAATTGAAACGGCGGTGAGGGCACCAACCCAGAGCCTTTGGCCACCCCGACAGGTTATTCGGCTCTTAACTCGGAAGGGAGTCCCACCACGGACAATGGGGGCCGAGTTCTTAAGTTAAGCCCGCGGAGAGGCGTCGTCGCCTTGAAGAGCGGGTGGCAATGCCCTCTTGTCAGTTTCATTCCGCCAGAGCGCACTGCCTCTTTAAAACAGCTTCCCTTCCCCGCTCCTTCCTGCCTCGATGCCTTTTTTAGGTGTCTGGCGAGGGCCTGCCCTGCCCGTCTCCTCGGGGCTGCCCTTAAAGGGGCCGCGCCGCCAGCCTCCCAGCTCGGCTCCGCGCGCCAACCACGCTCTCCCTCGGCACCACGCCCTGGCGGCTCCCACTTGCCTCGCCGGGGCCAAAGCGCGCTCGCTTGACAGCAAGCAGGAAGAAAGAGCTGTACTCGTGAGGGGCTTTTTTGAAAAGTCGTCTCTCCCCTCCCGTCCCGAAGGGGGTCTCCCGGTGCCATGGACTCGTCCGGCAGTTCCAAAGGCTGCATGGGGAAGTTTTCCTCCTTCGTCCGCACCCAGAAAGGACTGATTCTCGCCGCAGAAATAGTAAGAGGGCAATAGGCGCGGAAGGAGCCCGGGAGCGGGGTGGACGCCCCGGTACCCCCCCAGAAGGAGAGGGGCAGATGGGTAACTGTCCTT